AAAAAAAGTGAAAAAAAAAAAAAAAAAAAAAAGACAATGGCTTCCTTCTCATGGAGTAGATGCTGAAGAGGGAAAACGTTAAGTATGTAAATCTCATTTATTTATTTGGTACCAGGGGTCGAACTCGAGACCTTGTGCTTGTGAGGCAGGTGGTGGCACCACTGCACTAAATCCCTGGCCCCTGTAAATCTTTAATAAGTAGCAATCGGTGGCAGGAGAAAGGTAAAGGTGGTGGAGAATGGGACATAGGGAAGTAATACAATTTTATATCGAGTGCTCAGGTCAAGTTTCTGTGATAAAGGAACATTTAAACATAAACCTGGAGGAAATGAGGGGTCTCCTCAAATTAATTATGCAGTTTGCCCATAGCTTAGCAATTAAAGAGAACAGATATATTATAGAAATCTGTATATCCATCCTAGAGCCTAAAGGTCTCGCTAGATGCAACGCTGATGTTTACATGTTGGATTTTAGCAAAGACACTAACTCAAATGAAAAGTCAGACAGGTACTTCTGGGCCCTGTTAACATCATGAATATGATGGGGTTTGGATGACTGTTCCCAGCTCACAGGGGAGAAATGGTTACTGCAAGGAAGTGAGTTGGACGCAAGAGAAGGCCTGAGGCTTCAGCAGCCTAAGGCTGTGCTTCCAGGGAAATGAGTAAAGAAGGCAGGATTTGGGCTGGTTAGGTCCCCTGGATTAATTCAGTAATTCACTTCCAGTTTGCATACTTATGCCTTTATTAATATTCCCTACATCCTATGGCTACAGAGATGGAACAAAGCAATTAAACACGTAGGCTACACCAACTCAATAGAGCTCCCTGACACTGTCGGTCACCTCTATTTCTGAGTACTTCCTGGGAGGAGGAGTTATCTATGAAATTCTTTAACACCAGAAGTTTTAGTAGGCCAGCTCAGCCAGATATCTCTGATGGCTTCCATTGCCCAAAAAAGTAAGGCTGCATGATGGAAACAGCTGTTAGGATGATTAAAATCTTGAACAATGAGCCTATAATTTTCTTCAGGCTTAGCCTCTCTATTGAATTATTTAAACAACTGTTAATTTTGCAATTCTTGCCCTGTTTCTTCTCACACAAATCCATGTGAGTTCTGTTTCAATGGAATGCTTAGCTTATCGTGCAAATAACCCTCTGTGACTCAAAAGAGACCATGTAGTGCAATGGGCCTGATGCAAAATTTTCAACTATTCTCAGAATGTGCTTTTCATTAGCATTTGATTTTCCTCACTCTGCCAAGAGCCTCTAATAACAGGCTCATTAGATGCAGTGCTGGAGTCAGACTTCCTGTTGCACGCTCCACTGTCACCTCATCTGGCACCAATTGTTTTTTACTCCTTCACTGGCTGAATGAGGTGGC